GAGGTTTTTGGTGGGGTTGCTCATTTCTTGGGATTGAGTAAATATTGAAGAATCTAAGTTCACCTTGGCTTTCTTAAGGAAGAGAGCTTATGGGAACAATATGTTTTGTCACTTTTTGTGCAAAACTAACATCTTGTTAGACTCGGATGTCATTTAGAGTGATAGACCTAGAGAATGGTTGAAGAAGAAACAAAATATTTATTTTTATTTCTTTGATACAGATGGAAGCAACTATTGTAGCTCACTTTATATTTGTTACATCTAAAAGTTTTGTGTTGTGGTTGAGTGCAACAGGGTAGTGTCTAGAGCAGGATAGAAATTGGAATAGAAATTTGTATTAAGTGATCAAATCAATGAATCCATCCGATATCAATTTCATAAATGGCTTGTATGATAAAGTTGATGAAAAATGAGCAAAGTCTAAGACAAATAATGCATAACCTATGTGATTTTGAACCGACTAATTTAAAAATATTGACATAACATTTGATTAAAAAAATAAATTAAAATATTAATAATTGAACTATTTATAAAAAAAAACCAATAATCACAATTCCTTTTTTTTTTATCTCCTCTTATTTATTATATGTTTTTATATGGTTAATTCATTTTTTTATTTTATTATAACAATTGCCAAAATTAATATCATTTTTTCTCTTTCATGAAAAGAATCTTATTAATTAGCTCCGACACATAGAATTGAAATTGACTAGTCAAGCTTAATCTTGCGATAAGTTAACGTAGCTACAAAAACTTAAGCTTGCGATTAGAAGGGAAAAGATTAAGATTAACAATATATGACGAGAAGCTACAGAAACTAAAGAAGTCGTTCAACTGAATAATCCCCAGCTAACCAAACGACCACTCGGGCCAACAAGAGACGAACACCTACATTGATCACCCTAAGGTCGACTGACCGCTACTCTCAAAGTCGCTCGGTTTTCCAGAAAGAAGGCCAATCAGCACACAGACAAAACAACTAACCCGAACCAGCTAAGTCAACTAGCCCAAAGACTAGTCGGTCGGAAGGCTTAAACTTACGAAAAGATGTCCAAATCAGTTATTGATACTCAATGTTAGTTATGGATGTGAAAGAACATCAATATCAGTTATATATAGATACGTAAAGACGTCAATATCAATTATAATTACAAAAATATGCTAAAGGGGACAAGGTTGATTTGTAACGCTCCTAATAAAGGACAAATTTATGAGAATAATAAGGACGTGGAACGCCCTTTTTAAAGTTGGGGATAAGAATGTAATTTTATTAAAGATCCCCTGTGATTATAAGTAAGGACCATTTTATGAACAAAAGGACGGACCTTTTTCTATGAACCATTCACATTTACTCTATATATATAATTTTATTAAAGGTACCATTTTATGAACAAAAGGACAGACCATTTTTGTCTGAATTGTTCACCTTGTACTCTATATTCTCTCTCTCACTCTCTCTCGCGTCTCTCTTCAAACTTTCGCTTTATCCCTCGAGACATATTCCAAAGGACAAATCAAGATTCAACAGAAGATGAATTTGGCATCACTGTCTACCCTCTACTTGCATGCTTCTCTTGTGGCATCAATAGAGATTAATATCGGAGATAGTCAAAATTAGCCTTCAATACATTTACCAACAATCAATCACCAAAGTTAGTAGATATTATCGGCTATTATAAATCATAGAATATGTAGTTGTTATATTTCTAGCTTGAATGGAGTGTGGATTTTGCTTGCAAATTGGATTGGAATAATGATAATGGAGTTGGATTTTGCTTGCAAATTGGATTGGAATAATGATAATTGCAAGCTAACATGTAAGAAATAAAAATTAAATTTTCAAAAAAAAAAAGTTTGCAAAGATTGAGATGGATTTGATTCTCTCATAACCTCCAATTGAGTTGATCAATGCTTCTTTTTCTTTCTCTAATTTAATCAACCTGCAGCCTTTTGATTATTGCATGCTTTGAACTCTACTATTGCCTCATGTTTAAGTACAACTAATCTCGCTTTCTTAATTATGCTAAGAAGTTCTCTTAATTAGGGGATTGATGCGCGCTTCGTTGTTAAGCCAACTTCTTCTTTTTGATGACAGAGGAAATTTTATATTGGGACACTACGAGCTTTTTTATTTTCATTTTCAGCCTTCATTCGATATGAATAGTAAATAATTGGCTTTATATAATTGTATAAAATAAAAGTATCATAAGTCAATTCAAAAGTCAAATCAAATCAATTCAAATGTTAGACAACACATAGGAAAAGTATACGTATATTGAAAAATTCTTTAACATCATGGGACATTCACAGGCATACCGCCCAATTCTTATGTTTTTACAAATCTAACCACTAAACTATTTCTTTTATATTTACACCACCCAAATCTTTCATATCATATAAAAAATATCATTATTTTAATTTTTAAAAAGTGAAATACGCCTTTTACATGCATAATAAATTAAGATGATATATGTAAATATATAGGAATTGAATGGTATGTATGTAAATCTTCCTGACATTTTCTTATAAAAGTATACATTAACTTGATTATCAAACTGGGAAAAAATAATGTAAAATGAAGTCTTAGTTCTCATGATCAACACAAATTCTCTGCATATATAAACAACTCCAACCACTAGAAACTAAGAAGGAATTCTGTGGGGTGCATGGCCAGTTTATTTTAAGTTAGAAGGGCTAAAATATCTTAGTGGTGACATGCATGCATAATCATGACTTCGAAGTTTGATAATTAACATATAAGCAATCATTGCGTTGCATCATGAAGATATCTTAACGATATCCCTGCTTCAGAAATAAACAAATTACGATATTAAAAGTGATGACTATTCAAATTAATGATTCCCCATCTTTAATAAATTCTTTTGCTTAATTGTTAATCATCAAATT